TTCAAAGGCAGAGGGGGCAGGAACAAGGCATTTGCATTTGTCTCGGGTTTCAAGAGACGGCAGCAAAACGGTTTACAGCGTCGGAAGCCCCCAAAACCTAACGCTATTATTGTGTATGTACTTATATAAAAGAGGCCTATATATAAATATATGTATATAAATTAATACAAAATGGACAGAAAGCACAAGATTATCAATCTAAAACGATTAAGCGTGGGAGATATTGCCTGTGACTTAATAAAATAAATAATGTTTAGTCATTTATTATATTGAATATTTAAACTACAAAAGAGCTACGTAATTTTTTTTTCATTGAAATATGAATTCGGTAGTAACGTAATGAAAAACAACCCCGGGGTTATTTAAAAAAGACGAAAAATCTTTGGCAACACAGATTTTTTGTATGAAAGAGGAAAAGCACATGAGAACAATTTTGACATGATAGTTTACAAAGCTCTAAATGGTCAAACTCCTAGTTACGTTACTAAATTGTTGCATATCAAGTCTCAAACTCATGGTCGTAACCCTCGTAGTACACAAGATACATTTATGTTGCAAATACCCCCATATAAAACCAAAGTAACCCTTGGAGACCGGTCATTTCTTTGTGCTGCCCCTAGATTATGGAATAAATTACCACTAGAAATAAGGAAAGCCCCATCACTAGATAATTGTAAATCAAGACTGAAAACTCACTTGTTCACATAGTATGTATAGCACAGCATTTACGAGCTCTTGCAGCGCAGTAGAATATATCTACTTTACAAATGAATATTATATATATATATATATATATGTAACTCATTACACTACAATGCGGAAGTTTTGAATGATATAATATTCCGCTTTTTATATAGCGCTTAATATATCAACGATGTGTCTAAGGGGTTTACAGACATATTATTACCCCGGCCATCGGATTCGGGCTTACCCGCACACAATGTATGCTCATTCTCCATTCCCTGGGGAGCATTCCAACCAGGCGCTAATTTACAAGCGCACACTTGCTCATCCAACTACATTAACTTTCGTATCCTATTGGGTGCCCATTTAACACCTAGGTGGAGAGTGGCAAGTGTAGAAATTAATGTAGAAGACCGTACGTGTATATATTTCCGTATTCCCATACATGTAGCATCATTCTATCGTCGCCTTGGTCATGCATGAAAACCTGAACACTGGAAACAGCTATAGCGACTGTTAAGCTCACAGTCGTCATATAGTGGCCAGTCCAGCGCCACCCTATTCTAACAGATCTCGCGCTGGCGATTTATTCCGCTACAACTGGATAAACGGTGTCGCTACTTGCAGTCCTTCGTTAACCGGTAGGCCAGCTTTGCGAGAGTGCTGTTTAACTATAATGTTCTATAGCAGGTACGAAAAAATGTTCCGACTCTCTCCGAGCTTACGGCTCTTCAGCATATGTGTAAAGTAATCCTGTTCCTGCTTATACTTTTGCCTATTCTTTCCTCGTAAGGAAGGAAATTCGCTAGCTTATTACAAATGGCCTATATAGTCTATATAATACCGTGTGAGTAAAAAAAAAGTTTACACCTTAAAAATTGATAATTATTAAAAAATTATCTATGAACAGTAAATCATTATACATTTTATGAAAGAGCGTTTCATCCTAAATAATTTGGTATCATTTTTGTGTAGTATGTGTTCACGCTTGGATGAACAGGTGGCATTGTTTGCCAGAATGCAAAAATCGACTTGCGCCAAAGTGATGCCCACAGCATGTAATGTGTTGGGATTAGCGGTGTGAGAGAATGAATTGATGTATCAAATGAAATGCATTGCATATGCTTTTGCAGAAGCAAAGTCACACACGCACACACACACGCGCACAAATGTTCGTTGATGTTTGATACTCGATATTTGATATGTGTGGCATGATTAATCTTGTTAGGGATGTTATTTGGATCTGCAAAAACCGATTTAATACCCAAATCCCAATTGTTTTATTAAAACTTAGATAAGCAACTTTGGCGCAAGTTGATTTTTGCACTCTCGCAAACAATGCCTCGTGTTCATTCAAGCGTGATCACATACCACACAGAAATGATACCAAATGATTTGGGATAAAAAAAAAATATATAAAAAAACTCTTTCATAAGATGTATAATAATTTACTTTTCATAGATGATCTTTAAAATAATTTGCAATTTTCTAGGTGTAAACTGTAGTTGTATACCAGTGATTAGAGGTGGCATTTCCTATAGCAAGCACAGTCATTGGAAACATTAAAAGAGAAACTTCGTTTCGAAAGCTGGGATATGATCAGAAATTCTTAATCTCCCATTAGCAATGCGGTCCTATATCTTACATGATGAATTCTCCCATTTTTACGGTAAAGACATATTCAAAATACCTTCATTTTCTATGCCATGTTTTGTCCAGAAAAAAATGTAGATACAATGCTTTGTACTTGTTTTTCCGCAAAAATCCTGTTCCACGAACGACATAATAATAGATTTCATTGAGTTTTTTTGACAATTTTGGTAACGGTCTCATCTAAATGATGCATCGTGCGCGCGCAGATAAACGCTTCATCGTATACAATTATCTATCAAACAGTAGTGCGGAAAGGCCTAGTGTGTGAACACCATTAAGCAGTCGTTTCGTAGCGCTTAGAGACTTCGGTGGGAAGCGCTTTATAAGTAACGTTGTTATTATTATTATTATTATCCCGACGGGAGATATTGTTGAGAGGCTCCATGTTACCAGACCAAAAGACACCCAAAATTATGAATGACCTGGACTAAAAAGGCGTTACTCTCCTATGCTTTGTCCGATTTTCTAAAACTCCAACAACGATATTTTTCATTTTATGCTTTTTCCACAAAAAGTTAATTCACGTATAAATTAAATATACTTTCAAAGAGGAATTCCTCGCTGGTTGGAGAAATGTCGGCAGTCTGAGAAATAGTGTAACCCCCCCCCAAAAAAAAAAAGGTATAGAAATGCCCCTGTTATATATTCATAATCAATCTCATCTGATCTGTAGTTATTATTTTTAGTAAAACGACAAGCAAAAAGATTGATTCTTCTGTTCGTTCTATGTCACGTGAGTGACTTTTTTAAATTATTTAAACTGGTACCTTATCAGAAACCACAACAGAACACGATTGTATAAAGGTATAATGAAATTTAGTCTTCAGCCTACGAATCGTGGCGTCAAAAATCAACAGAACATAAACAATTTACTAGAACATAACTTTAGTACAGTGCAGCTTCCATCTCGTGAGTACATCACAGCTCCTGGTCGCTTGGCCAGTCTCTAGATTTCGTAGATATCCCCGTCGACTTGGCAGCTCATCTACTTTAGGTAAAACGACAAGCAAACAAAGTGATTCTTCTGTTCGTTCTTCCCCATACAGAATCACTCGGAATACAATAGAATGCTGTTTTGCGGAAACCCATCGACAGTCTTCTACCTAGATGTACGTCTTATATTAAAATGGATCCAACTTTGTTGAATGAAAAGTGGAGGTCTTGTACGGTGGATCATGGATGACTGTTTGTGGTCATTCGTGGTATTTTCTTGAAGCCAAGGTGGTTCGCGGGATACTGGGGTTCGACGTTTGTTGAGGTCTTAAAGTGTAACACGGTGCTCATGCTATGTTCCCACTATCAAAATTGGTGACACATTTGAAATCGTGTTCTGAATCGTGGAGTAATCGTGGTGATTCTATCAGATATTATCAGATCTTGAGGTCAGTCGTGGCAATCGCGTTGATCGTAGGGAAGTTTTGAACAGATAATAAAACTCTACGATCAACAGATTAGTTGTCAAAAATGATCATCGTATCAGATCGTAACAAAGCGCGATATATCGCATTTAATCCTGCTTTCTGATCGTGGTGATCGTGATCAACCTCGTACAAGACTTCTACAAATATGTACGTCTTATATTAAAATGGATCCAACTTTGCTGAAGGAAAAGTGGAGGTCTTTTACGTTGGATCATGAATGACTGTTTGTGGTCATTCATGGTATTTTCTTGAAGCAAAGGTGGTTCGCGGATGCTGGGGTTCGACGTTTCTTATGGTCTTAAAGTGTAACACGGTGCTCATGCTATGTTCCCACTATCACAATTGGTGACATATTTGAAATCGTGTTCTAAATCGTAGAGTAATCGTGGTGATTCTATCAGATATTATCAGATCTTGAGGTCAGTCATGGCAATCGCGTTGATCGTAATAATAATAATAATAATAATAATAATAATAGCCTAATAGTCCACTCCAAATTTTATTAAACCGAAACGGAAATTCTTTTTGCCCAATTGATCGTGAGCCCGGCAGCCACTGAGCAGCGCCAGATCGACGTTGCTCTATCCCCTTATTGTTGAACGCCAAACAAGGTAGCAACGGATAATAAAATTCTACGATCAACAGATTAGTTGTCAATAATGATCATCGAAACAGATCGTAATAAAGCGCGATTTATCGCATTTAATCCTGCTTCCTGATCGTGGTGATCGTGATCAACCTCGTACAAGACTTTTACCTAGATGTACGTCTTATATTACAATGGATCCAACTTTGCTGAAGGAAAAGTGGAGGTCTTGTACGGTGGATCATGGATGACTGTTTGTTGTCATTCATGGTATTTTCTCGAAGCAAAGGTGGTTCGCCGATGCTGGGGTTCGACGTTTGTTAAGGTCGGGCTTCGTTCCCACTTCCACGATTGGTGACAAGAATGAAATCGTGTTCTTAATCGTGGAGTAATTGTGGAGATTCTATCAGATATTTTCAGATCTTGAGGTCAGTCGTGGCAATCCTGTTGATCGTAGGAAAGTTTCGGACGGTTAATAACATTCTACGATTAACACGATTAGTTGTCAATAGTGATCATCGTATCAGATCGTATTGGATCGTAACAAAGCGCGACACATCGCATCTAATCCTGCTTCCATTGCTCACGACCTGACACGAATAACTCACTAGTAAATGCGGGTAGTATCAAATATCATCCTCCCCACCTTCTGCATCATGCAGCTCGCACATTATTTCCTGCCAGGCGAGCGACCTTGTGGCCAGCTGAAGGCCTTCAGGAGTTCCCTCTACAGCTTTGCATCTGCTGTAGCCGAGTTGCAAGGTGTAAGAGGTTGATTGACGGTTTAATCAGGTTGATGATAATTTCACTATGGACAATTTTGTTTCACAGAAATGCAGATCAGCATCTTTTGCACTTAACAAAATTGGGGAAATTCGCAATCTGATAGATAAACACACTACTGAACGCTTGATTCATGCTTTTGTGGCGTGTCATCTTGATTTTTGCAATAGCCTCCTTTCTGGGATTTCGGCTCGTCAAGTGCAGAAGATGCAGGTTGTGCAAAACTCAGCAGCTCGTCTTATTTATCGTATTAGGAAACATGAATCTGTGTCTCTTATTTAAAGAGACTTACATTGGCTACCCATTTACTCTCGCATTTTATTCAAAATATCATTGTTAGCTTATGAATGTTTTTTTTATGATTTTGCGCCTCCTTCTTTGATAGAGCTGTTACCATTGTACACACCTTCTAGAAATCTTCGTTCTAATAAGAAAACATTGTTTGTTATTCCACCAGTGATGACCAGGTCATATGGTGAACGCAGCTTCGTTCCCACTGCCTCAACTTTATGGAAAAATCTCCCAGAACATCTAAAAAACACTGACTCCATTGTTAAGTTTAAGATTGCTTTAAAGACGCACTTATTTAACATTTAATTCATCCATTTTGTCTGTTACCCAGTACATCTTGTCTTTGTATTCTGTTTTTTTTTTCTTCTCTAGAGCGCTTAGGGATGTGTTTTATTACTATGTGTTATGCGCTGTACGAGAACAGTTAATTATTATTATTATTATTTTATCACAGTTTTTTCCCATTCTAATGTAGGCCTACTAGTTTTTTTTTCTTTCTCTTTGTGTTATCATTAGGCTTGGGATCTGTGGTTGTTGTCTTGTAAACCTTATATTAATGAATTACCATCGACCCCCCCCCCTTTTTTTTTTTTTTTTAAAGAAAGAAACCGAAGAGGAATTTTAAGATTAGAGAAGGATACAAATAAGAGAAAGAGAACTAGAGGAGAAAAACAAAGAAACAAACAATATGGTATAAAAAAAGAAGAGGTAGATAAAGGAAAAAGATATGGTATCAATTTCATCTTGCTCCTTTCCCTTTTTCTAACGTTTTCCTTTCATTGTTTTTCTTTGAAAATATTTGCATCTGTTTCTTTTTTCCCCATATTCTTTATTACATTTTATGATCCGTTTTGAAACATTTTTCAGGCATTTCTTGAGTATGGACCAATATGCGGTCTTATAGCTGTTAAGAACCCGTACACATTATAAAACATATATATATTTAGTTTGCCTTTATTTTCATGCATTTTTTCCTTTCTTAATTAAGTTTACCCGAATATATTTGAAGTTCCTCTGATTGGTGGAACCAAAATTACAATTTGTTTTCTTCAAAAAAGCATTTCACTTCGTTCGTTCGTGTCTCCTTAGATCAAGATTCATGTAATCTTGATCTTCGGAGTAGTTGCTACAACCGGCCGTATCAGACACGTTGCCCCGGGGTGCGAGATAGGACTCTTGTAGCGTGCCCCCATTTAAAACAATTATACAATAACAGTTAACATTACATTTAATTAATGGTATGAAACTATAAAAATTACTCTCATGTTACGGGAAAAAATATTGCATATATATATATATTATGAATCAATTGATTTGGTCGATCCAGTTCGATGGCACAAACACGGCACTACTGGAAAGAGATCCTAATAATTACAGAGCTTGGTCTTGTTGCTCTGTTTCTTCAAAAAAGCATTTCACTGACAATGATTCTCGTTCTTTCATTCATATATATATATATATACATACATATATAAATAGTGAAGTAAAGTATGCCTTTTGTTGCGCGCAGTTGCCATTCATTAACACGGCGGCTTTGGGGGCGGTGGATTACTGCGCCAAGTCTGTAAAATCATTTACGGAATTTGTTTACCTTTCTTGAATGGATTGTCCGCAATGATAATGATAACTTTGCTCAAGCTATTTTAAAGGCATATTTGATTCTGTACAGAATACTTTAAGAATTACGAACTACCACATCAAGATTTCGTTAGTTTGATTAAACTGTATATGATACATACGAATCTGTTTTCATGTGAAATGTGAACTATTTGAAAAAGGAACATTCTTTTCTCCTTAGCCCATCCTCAGCCATTTCAGGTTCGTCTTGTCAGTGGATCTAACGATGCTGAAGGCAGAGTAGAAATCAAGCATGAAGGATCCTGGGGAACTATCTGTGATGGTGGCTGGGATCCAAGAGACGCGATGGTGGTTTGCAGAATGCTAGGTTTTGATAGAGCCTTGGGTGCACCGCGATCTGCACGGTATGGTCAGGGATCTGGTCGTATTCTGCTAAAGTATGTCAATTGTGAGGGAACAGAAGACAATCTAGCTGACTGTGCTCATGCAGGGATCGGACGTTTCTCATGCACTCATACAAGTGACGCAGGAGCCATTTGCTACTCAGGAAGTACGTTTCCTTTCCTTCTCTCCCATAACCAAGCATTTCAAATGACCGTTTTGTTAATTGTCTGCATGCTTAATAGATGACTATGAAAACTCCCAGAGCTTAGGGAATAAAAACTCAATATTTCTTCTCATTTGATGTGCAAATTTTCTAAACAAAAACAAAAACCTTGAAATTTAGCCCCCTCCCCCCCCCCCCCTTCACCACCCTTCAAACAAATTAAGTCTTTCTAGTGTTATTGGTCTCTTTTGTATGACAATCAAATGCAACCAAAATAGTTTCGTTATCATATAACCATTCGCATTTTCTTTTGTATTCTTGTTTCAGCATAAATGATTTTAAGCCGAAAATGCTTGTTTCGTGGACCGTGAGAATTTCTTAAACAGTTTTGCATACCTCAGTATTATAAGTTAAAATGTGTTGATCATAGTATTTTTTACATAATCTTTCTTCGAATTCTTTTACAACTACATTTAAAGTTAATATGACATTAACCAAAATGTTATCCCAATGCGGAATACATGTCTTTCCTATTCACACGTAGCCCATCCAAACCCATTTCAAGTTCGCCTTGTCGGTGGATCTAACGATGCTGAAGGCAGAGTAGAGGTCATGCATGAAGGATCCTGGGGAACAGTCTGTGATACTTGGTGGGATCTGAGAGACGCGAGGGTGGTCTGCAGAATGCTGGGGTTTGATGGAGCCGTGGACGCACCGGGATCTGCATGGTTCGGTCAGAGCTCTGGTCGTATTCTGCTAAAGTATGTTAACTGTGACGGAACTGAAGATAACCTAGCTGACTGCGCTCATTCAGGGATTGGACGTTATTCATGCAGCCACACAAGGGATGCAGGAGCCATTTGCTACTCAGGAAGTATGTTTTTCTGTATTTCATTTTTTCGTTAAAGGCTGGTGTCTCCTCGATCACTGCTTGATCACTGCGGGTTTCGCCGCGCTTTCGGCCGTCGTTCGCAGGAAACGAAATCTGCTCCCAATTCAGCGATTTTCCGATGGCAAACTTGAGATCAAAGAGTTCATAAACATGTGGCCCGTATTTCGCCCGGGCATCGGCAAACATTCGATCGCTATGTATCTCATGTATCCCGCCCGACTTAAACAAAGTTGGGTGTGCTTCGAGCGCGCTCTGTGCTGGTGTCGGGCGGTTTCTACGGGTCCCGGCAAGGCTTTTTTCACCCCGGGAATTTGGATGAAATGTCGCCAAAATGATGATTTAGGCATCTAACGTGTACAAATCTAAAATTTTCGTATATATTTTGAGGCGAGGACGCGTCGGAGGACGCTAGGCAGGGTGTCGGGCAGACCAACTAATCGTCGACCAAAATTCGGACGACGCCCGCCCTTATGACGAGTGTGCTTCACCCGACTCCAGATGTTTACTGACGGGCACCGGGTAATTTCTGACCACTTTTATTACCAAGCCCCATACAATATGTGACAGGGTAAAGCAAGTGTAAAATTCAGCGACGTTCTGGCGATCCACGAAACCGGCCGGAGACCGTTTGATGTGTGACGCAAGCACGATATATTTTAGTTATAACCAAGAAACTATATTTAGAGAGCTGAATCTTTGAATAAATAAAGAGCAATTACATTGTTCAATTTGCTTCATTCGGTCATCATGTATGGAGGCAGGTATTGCAACGGATTGGACATAATAATCATGTTAAAATAAGATGTTCCCACCTCCCCCACCCGTAAGCAAAAAAGAGATTATTCCGTTGACAGATTTGTATGGTATAATCAATAACAAACAAATCAGACTAATTTCCTCCTTGTATGAAATAGACTTTCTCATATGTTTGCCTAATTCTACACATAATCGGACGAAATTGCAAAATGGCGATTATTTCCTCTTCTTGTACACTCCACATTGAATATGGAGTAAATGATAAGGTAGTACTGATAGGATACCTAAATGCAGTCAATAGCAACTAAATGATGATCCGATTAGCTTAAACTGCCCTCATACTTTTCCGTCCAACGTATGTTGAAATTCGTGATGACATCTTTAAACAAAATAGTTATTACGCTCTTATTCTCTTGTAGTCCATCCAAATCCATTACAAGTTCGTCTTGTCGGTGGGTCTAACGATGCTGAGGGCAGAGTAGAAGTCATGCATGATGGATCCTGGGGAACTATCTGTCATTCTCACTGGGATCTGAGAGACGCAAGGGTGGTTTGTAGAATGATGGGGTTTGATGGAGCCTTGGACGCACGGGGATCTGCAAGGTTCGGTCAGGGTTCTGGTCGTATTATTCTAGATGATGTCGGGTGTGAGGGAACAGAAGTAAACGTAGCAGACTGTGCTCATTTAGGGATTCGAGTTCACAAATGTGGACATGATGAAGATGCGGGCGCTACTTGTTACAATGGAGGTATGTTTAACCGTAACATGCAGTCCTGAAATGTATATATCAAGAGTTAACTTGTTATCCACTAATAACGGTCGTAAAGAGTCTTGTGATGATTATAAGTTAAAGAAATAAAATGTAAATCACTCCTCTAGTGTTTCCTCCATTTTTCTCTAATCAATGAATGGAAAAATATTAAAGTTTCAGAAATCACATAGCAAACAAACCAAACATGTCTATTGCAATCGCCGTATAAAGAGCATATGCACAAGTGTTCTGTGCCATTCATTTCAGTTTGCGTGCTGATTCACATTTCACTGATTTTCATTCAATAATTAATTACTTCCATTGCCTCAGCCCATCCGAATCCTTTCGGAATAAGGCTCGTCGGTGGTTCGAGCAGTGCTAAAGGCAGAGTTGAGGTTTTGTACGATGGATCCTGGGGAACTATCTGTGATAGTGGCTGGGATCTCAGAGACGCGAGGGTCGTCTGCAGAATGCTGGGGTTTGATGGAGCGTTGGACGCAACAACGTATGCAAGGTTCGGTCAGGGATCTTGGGATATACTTAATCTTGTCGGCTGTGATGGCAAGAAGGACAATCTTGCGGACTGTGCATATCTTGGGATAGGTGTCAATTACTGCAGACATGGAAAGGATGCTGGTGCCATATGTTACTTGGGAGGTACGTGTCTACCCTTTAAAAAACTCAAAGATGCACACCTTGGGATATAGTCAGGCGCAAGAGTGGACTCTTAATATTTTTGGAAAGATTGTGGTTCGGATGCTTTCAGGCTACCCCTAGTTATAGCAATAAGGCTCGTTTGAGTGAATTCGCGCAGGATAGTTGCTGGGCAGTTGTTACATAATATCAGTTTGCACATGGTGATGAAGGTGCAATAAATTAGTGGTCATAATACAAAGGGCCCTATTGGTATTATGGACCTATATCTCTAAATATGAGTTTTACAGTCTGATTGGAATGATGGCTACTTTCAATCAAGGTCACCCGGTATTGCAATGGTTATTAGGGATGTCTCCAATTATAGGGTAAACGAAAGAATATGCTAGAAGATACAATTTTTACAAAACTTTACAACCCCAATAAGATATTGACTCATTTTGGATGCACACCTATACGATTTTATGAACAACTCAACTAGAAAAGGATGGTTAAAGGGAAAGTCCACCCCAAAAATAAGTTTGTTTCGATAGAGGCAGAATAATAAGAAAATCAGGTGAGTGAAAGTTTGAGCAAATTCTGAATGAAAATAAGAAAGTTATGAATTATTGAAGTTGTGATCAATCAAATACAAATTGGCAACTCTGTGACTTATTATACGAGCTCTCCTTCATTTGCTTTGTGCATAATATTCCATAAAATCATGTTTTCTTCGTTATTGATGACGGAATATATATTTGTTCCTTGCAGGGGGAGTATAGAAACATATTTGCAATTATTATATTTAGGGTGCATGTATGGTTGAAATTTTTTCTTGAGGGAAAATGAAAATTTTAGATTTTTTAGTACTGAGCAAATGGAAGTTGAGCTCGCATGATACGTCATAGAGTTGCCAATTTGTGTTTGATTGATCACAACTTCAAAAATCCTAACTTCCTTATTTTTAATCGGAATTTGCTCAGACTTTCACTGACCTGATTTTCTTATTATTCTGCCTCTATCGAAACAAACTTATTTTAGGGGTGGACTTTCCCTTTAATGACTAAGAAGAGTGGAGATCAAATACAACAGCCCCTGGGGGGCAGTTTGCGACGATAGCTGGGATTTGCGAGATGCGAAAGTCGTATGAACAACTGAACTAGAAAAAGATAGGGAATAACTTTTATGGCTATACTAAAAGAAAGTAAATTTATTTTCCTTTTAGCCCATCCAAACACTGTGGGAGTACGGCTCGTGGGTGGATCTAATAGTTATGAAGGAAGAGTGGAGATCAGATACAACGGCACCTGGGGAACAGTTTGCAACGATGGCTGGGATTTGCAAGATGCAAAAGTCGTATGCAGAATGTTAAGGTTTGTCGACGCTTCGACTGCACCAGGTTTAGCCCAGTTTGGCGAGGGGTCCGATAAAATTCTCCTGTCTCATGTCGGGTGCGATGGGACGGAAGACAATCTTGCGGACTGCGCACATCTAGGGTTTGGAGTGCACAACTGTCAACATAACGAAGACGCTGGGGTCAGGTGCCTCTTAGAAGGTACAATACTACATTATTGTGCATACTGCATTCATTCATCATTTTCCATCTACCATTAAAAGTGACCTTAACAATTGACACATTTTTAACCCAATCCTAAATTAATTCCTTACAACGGCGTTGTATATGGAAAGCTTCAGTCCAAAAACGCAAGGTATTTTTCACCAAAATTTATTATAAAAATGGATATTCCTATATCGGACAGCGAACTCAAACGCACTCTATTAAGCAGCCACGAATCAAGTTCGAAGCGGTGCAATGACGAGAAATAAAGAATAATTATATGACTTTTTAAAAATTCTAGAAACAAACTCTCTTTTTGTTGTGTTTGTTATTCAAAACAGCTCGACTTGTCGATGGAGCCGACGAATATGAAGGAAGAGTTGAGATTCAACACGAAGGGTCTTGGGGAACTGTATGCGACGATTTATGGGACCTGGACGACGCTATGGTTGTTTGTCGACAGTTAGGATTTGATGGGGCTTTAGCTGCTCTACCCCAAGCAAGATTTGGTCAAGGTTCTGGTGATATCTTTCTGGATGGTGTTCAGTGCAATGGGACGGAAACTAGCCTCAAAGATTGCAAACATAAAGGGATTGGAGTCCATGATTGCGGACACAAAGAAGATGCCAGTGTCTCATGCATCCATGCAGCTCATCTAGGTAAAATTGCTACCGTACAAAGCACAAATAAAAAATATGTTGACCAAGGCTGGTGTATCTCCTGGGTGCACTTAATTACACTATTATATTATCATGAAAAAGACAGACACCTTTCATGAATCGTCCCTGCTGCAGAAAATCCAGACCACAAAACGAACCGTTCATACAGTTTGGCAACAAGATATACATGTCCCTATATCAGAAAACCTTTACTGCATTTCTGAATCGAAATTGGAATCCTCAGTAATAAATGAAATTAATAAACGGTGTTTATGATAGAGCATATTCACTTTTAAAATCAAAAACTTTGTAATAAATTCATTCTTCATTTTAATTTTCCTTTAACACATTTACTTATATATCGTTATGATATAATCATCCTAGCGCACGTTTGGATATCTTCTTTTTTTCATAGATATTTTGAAGATGTAAAATGTCTGAAGCTGAAATGTTTATTTTCATATTAGACTGATGCCCCACTTCTTAGTTTTGAAACGATCTTATCTTCTTTTGTGATAGATTTGACTGCCTATTCCAATGTTGACGTATCTGATGTAATAACACTTACTACCGACGATCTGACATCCGCAAGTCCGCACACCATTTCCTTTAGTCAGATAATCCCGACTAAAATTGATATTCTGAACTTGAATACAAGACCAAGTCTAATATTAGATTTTCCAAAGATTGTTTTATTTGGACTTTGCGTTGTGTTCTTCAGCATCATTCTTATATTGTCCTGCGCGTACTGTCTTTGTAGAATTCGAAAAAGAAGGGCTGCGAAAGATGTAAACGACGATATCTATATGGACGTAACGAATATCGTATCAAAGCACTCTCTGTCGGCTGATTCAACTTACCAAGACTTGAACACGCCACCTCGGTTACCGGATAGACAAGTGACCGGTGTGCTTCATCACGATTGTGAATTAAATATAGCAGCTGATGATGACGATAAAGGTGATCTGAATCTCTCGCAATTCAAAAAAGAAGAAAGGAATATAAACATGGACATTGATAACGTTTATGAAACACCCGACAATGAAAAGGACTTAGATCCCGATGATTATATCCTTCCGACCAGGGAATCATTATCGGATGAGTACATCGACATGACAACTGTTTACCAAACGCCCTCAGTGGGGAAAGATGAAGACATTGATGGATATTTTCTCCCGTGACAGGACATATCCGAAACCGACGTGAGTGAAAACTGTGGGGGAAAATAACCATAGTGCTATTAACTAAAAATGCACCTCAAACAACTGCTGAAGTTTCCAAGATAATAAACTAAAGAATTAGACACTTAGGAGTACGAGTTAAGTTGTTACTAATGTACCTATCTGTAATGCACTTATCTTTCATTTATAATGATGTACATAAGTGTGAGGAATTTAAAAAAAATACGATTTAGAGCTATATTTTAATGGTATCAAATCACCACGATCGAAAAGGATTTCCCGCTCCCGTACGATGAAAACTGAAAGTGATGTCAAATGTAATTATAAATGGAGGTCATAAGTTCTGCAAATTAAATTATAATGCCTCCTTAGTTCAATATGGTCTCAGCTTAATGACAATTAATTCCGTTTTTCTAAATACTTTTTTTAATCAATGGACCGGTACAATGATTAAATTCATCTTCCACCCGATGATCGAATCTTAGTTGTAGGTTAGACAATTTAATCATTTAGGTTTTCTCCTTTGAGTAACTTAATTCAAGACAAAATGTATGACATTGACAGTGACTTTCATGTCAGGTTAAACGACAACAAATACGTTATCAGTGTTAAACTATTAAATGATTTTTTTTTTTTTTTAAATCAAAGTCTCATATATATTAAATAATTTTACCTCTTTGTGATACATGAAATAATAGTTTCCGTATAACTGACGAAAATAATTGCCAGACCTAATAAGAGCACAATGATTGGCATTACAAGCACTGTACAAATAGTGAAACAAATGAAATCTATTAATCATAGTACTTTGTGTATGTCGTATCGTCGTTCAACCTAGCATTTAGCCGGTTAGGTATAATATCAAATTATTTACACTAGATAGAGATAAAGCACAAGTAAATAACTTTCTTTTAATACATTGAATAACTTGGCTTGAAACTTTCTTAGATGTTGTAGGTATGAAAGTTTCAAGCCAAGAAAGAAATCTGGAATTATGCGCCTCAACATTGATTTAAAATTGCACATAATCCATAAACTTCATTTATTTTAGGTTTAATTGTAAAGGAAATCTATTAATATAGATATGTGGCATATTATATTGCACATGTAGACTCCTTTGATATATTTTGAGATTATGTGGTAATATGACTTACTTGCCTTTATGGTGCCAATTTTCAATTGCATGTCAAAGTTACCTGTGGAAATTCATCAAGGGATGGTTGCAGAAACTTACATCTACGATGATCATAAAACAGAACAATATCGTAATTGATGCCTGTGATTTTTTTCTCACACAGGGATACATTTACAATCATTGTCAAATATTTCATGGATGATGAGGAACAATAGTAATTTAAATTTGTAGAATTTGTAGAATTGTATTGACTATTTGACCCCCTCTCGGTGTATTAGAGTACAAACAAACATAAAAGTATAAATAGCAATGCATGACTTATGAATACAATTCACATACATTATACATAGATAATGACACAAAGATACAAACGATAATAGGTATATAGTGTATGAAAGTACAAACATGAACAATGAACCAACTAGTAAACATAAAGTATATATACATGTTCAATGTTGATAGTGACAATAATAAAAGGATAAGTATAATGCAGATAATAATAGAGGAGTTATTAACTTTTAATAAAACGAACCCGTCATGTTATTCATCTTTTTTTTTTAAAGCAATATCAATAAGACAAGAAAGAATTTGCTCGGTTTTATCAAGAAACTCTTTGTGGATCAGTATTTCAAACTCACAGAATACAAATAAACTGGAGTTTTAACCCTGGCTGGAAATTTTGTTCAAACAGATTTATGTTACCATGTGTTTGTAAGTGGGTAACGAGATTGCAGTTAGTGTGAGCAATGTGTCGGGTTATGGGGCCTTATGTAACAATTATTAATAATGTATGACTCCTGAATGTAGTATGCACTGAATAATTGGACTAGTCAATTACTTGTCATTTTTTTTGAGAAAAAAAATAAACATGGAACTTAACGGATAACGATAACGTCGTGTCTATCAAATTATTTTTTTTAATTTTGCATGCAACAGTATGTAATAAAGTACTTCAACTTCTCTCTTCTTTGCATATTTCTTTTCCCCCTTATGTTTGTTTGTTTTCTTTTTTTTCTGAGATTTACAATGTATGCAAGTACATGAATATGCAAATACATGAAACATGTGCTAGCGTTTTTGTATTGACGAATGGCATGTATGAGTGTGCGTGCATATTTGTGTGTAAGGGGCTCGTGCCTTGATGTTTAGAGTGTCCCCTACAGTATTAATGAGAACATGCGTTAGTGTTGCTTGTACATGTATATTTACAATAACAAATGAATAAATGAGAGGAAATTTAATAACGTTTGGAATAGAACTGATTGAGGATATGAAGGATATGAAGCATTTTTTGACAGCGGGATGGGTGGGGCTGAACATGTTCAATGTAATGATGTAGTTTTTAAATTGAAAGGAATCGTGTGTATGTGCGTGTGCGCGCGTGCATGGGCGTGCGTGTGTGTGTGTGTATGTTTATATGTATTGGTGCGTATATATTATAATATATTATAATCCATTAAACGATGTCTAAAGCTGTCCAAGTAAATTTAAAAAATGTTCACAGAAATACAAGACAATCCAGTATATTCATGGTCAGGTAACTAATTGAAAACAAGATTGATACTGATGCTCAAGTACTAATAAAGGACGCCACCTTTGGCGCTAACAGTCACAGACTTATGTGAACTTTCGTGTTAATAAATCAATGCAATGTGCTTTAGTATTCATCTCTCACCTCCATGCCCTTGCCACAAGGAAAATCTATGCAGTGATACTGGAATCGAAACCCCCCCCCCTCTCTCTCTCTCTCTCTCTCACTCTCTCTCTCCCTATGTTTTCTTCTCTTTCTTAATTTCGTTCTCCGTCACACTCCCGCCCCCCGCCCACTCCGAGAACGGACGGACCCCATGCGTGTTGCCAAAATGTCCTTTTCGTAACAAAAGAAAAAGGTCGACCCGTATTGACTTTACACACCGGACTTTTGCTGAAAAGGGGAGGGGGTGCTGAAAAAGGCTCGTATACAAAAGAAAAAGGTCGAGCCGTATTGACTTTACACACCGAACTTTTGCTGAAAAGGGGGGGTCGGTTGGAACACGCATATGCGTACCCTAAATAACACTGAGTGGGGGGGGGGGGGCGGGGTCACACTACCAGGGAGGGTATAAAAATGTTTAGTTAAAGCTCTTCTGCAAATGTACAACCTTTTTTTCTTCAAATACAATCCCATGCGTTTTTTTAGAATCGGATAAACTTGAATTTTTATTTACATTTGTAATCCAATATGTTTTTCTTTAATCATCTCTTGCTGGCTAGTGTGATGGAAAAGTTGTGGATGAATAATCTACATGCTTTTCAAGCATCCAACATTTAAATTGGTCCAACGACGTTCTCTGTCCCATTTCCCGTTGTATCCTCTTTCTCTCTCTCATAATACGACTGTTACCCTCTCCTCTATTGCTGCAAATTCATGTTTTTCGTTACAGTATATCTTATTTGATAATAACAATTATAATATTAATAATAATTTCAATAATTTTTAAAATGATATATGAGATTTGTAAGGCACATAATCCATTTAATATGAAAGGCTCAGGGCGCATTTGTGTAAACAAAAATGAAAACAAATGAAAAAGTATCGGCTTGCATGGTGATGTAGATATACAGTAGGCTTGATGTTGCACCATGCGAGAGAGAGGGGCGTAGGCGCCGGAAGTGGGGGGCAGGGGGGGGGCAGTTGCCCCCAACCAAAAATGTGGGGGGAACGCATTTTTGCCCCCCCCCCCCTTAAAAAAATAAACAGTAAAGGGGTAAAGATGGTTTGTATTTTTAACCCCAAAAAACAAAACAAAAATTAAAACCTGAATTAAATCACATATAAAATTCCGTTCAAAGAAAAAGAAAGTTAACAGGATTTAAATTTGCTAAACATTGCGCATGCCACCTATATTTATTAATGGAGGTTTTCTATAATTGATGTATCATGTTCGGTTTTGATTTGATTACATATGCGCATATTAATTAGGCGGACTTAGTTATTTTCACAACTTTTTCAAATCTGCAGATTTGCAAAAATGGCAAAAATGACTTATTTTGTTTGCTTCTGTTTTCAAAACGGTAATAGATATACGAATTTTCTTTTTCGTATTTTTTTACCACAAAGATGATATTTTAGTGTCTAATAATCTAATTTATTATTTGTGTCCAAGAAAGTGATGAATCAAGTTGTCAGCCTTGTCGAATTTTGCCATTTTGCCAATTTGACCATTTTTGGCAGGTTTTTCGGTAATTTTGCGATATCAAAAAATGATATAAAATCACAACGCATTGACCTTTCCAGGCCTTTTGATAACGACTATCCTTGCCGCTATTTTTCTTTTTACTTTACATATTTTATTTGCATTTTTATCCAATATGTTTAAGTTTATTTATAATTCATCTTTTGTTTTGCTTGCTATAGTGTGATGGAAAAGTTCTGAAATAACTTGTTGATAAATCTGCATGCTTTACCAACATCCCACATTTAAATCGGTCTCATGACGCTCCCAGTCCTATTTTTCTTTCTATTCCGTCTGTCTTTCTCTCTCTCTCCCTATATTTGTTTCCCTCTCCTCGACTGTTTCAAATTCATGTTTTTTATTTCAGGTTATCTTATTGAATAATAACATTAATAATATAAGTAATACTAGCAATAACAATAATGATAATGACATATGAAATTTGTAAGGCGCCAAATCCACTTAAAATGAAAGGCTCAGGGCGCACTTGTGCAAACAAAAATGAAAACACATGAACATCATCAGAAAACAAACAACATTTAAAAAACAGGAGTATATGAAAGACCATACAAATATTAAAGAGAAAAATTGATTATATGTATACCGCCTGTCTCTCATTTGATTCAAAATAAAATTGTCAACTGGCTAATTAAATAATAATCAACGCTTATCTAAGAATAAAAATATGATTATCGATTTCGTCTTTGACATCAATCTACATGGAAAAATTTCACCGAATTCTTGCTCAACAATGCGTATGAACTTTAGGTCAGAAAGGAGACATCGCCAGGCTGTCTATCAAAGACCTGTAGGGACTGCTATTCATTATGCACGACTCGAGTCACGACCCAGCTCACACCTAACGAGTCAAGGGAGAGGTGCCCAAACACTCATGCACATTCACTATCACAGAGCCCAATCATTAACCAAAGGGCGATGGATGTCACACTGACGTGAATATGACCTTATGGGACTGAATAGTGTTTCGTCACCGTCTCGTCAAAATAAATAGGTTAGGGTCATTCACTGCCCGAGAAACACAGTCACTGTTTACACACAAAGACATGTTTTTAGGAAAGGCGGCATAATAATTCACAGAATTACACATATGTTTCTTTATTTACTTTAGTTGCCATTAATTCAGAAGGAAACGCATGATTGTTAGCAGGCGCGGATCCAGGGGGGGGGGGGTGGCCGAGTGTCCCTTGACCCCCCCCCCCCCCGCCAAAAAAGACGCCCCCCCCCCTTCCTGGTAACAAAAGAAAGAAAAAATTTGTGACCATAAATTTACCTCTCTTTTTTTGCTCAAGGGGGGGGGGGGGGGTGTTGAGTTAAACAAAAGCGCTCTATGCCCCCCTCCCCCCCCCCCCCGCCCCCACTGAGCAAAATATCGGCCGGCAGGATTTTCAAATTTCAGGACACTAAATTCCAATTGTTTTCAAATTTGCCCCCCCCCCCCCCCCTTAACATATCCTGGATCCGCGCCTGATTGTTAGTGTAGTTGTAAATGACTCCTTATTTTTAGATCTAATTTTTGTATACAAAATGTGCTCTAAAATAACCGCGTTTCGGCTCATCGGGTGCAAATTCACATAAAGTACCATATTTCGTCGAAATCTGCATTATGTTGTAAAATCCCATTTGTTTCTTTGACACAGATGTATACAATCCTTTTTCCGAGTTCTTGCTCTTTAAACAAAATTGCCCTTTTCTCAAAAGCAAAACTCCCGAGAATTTCCCTTTTTTCCAGACATTTCTATCAAGAGCACAAAAGGTCATATGAAGTGACACCACCGAGGGAGAGGTTCGAAGATAAAATCATGGCGTACAACAGTCACTTCCAGGTTCAGTTGAGAGGAGATTTGCAAATGTATGCCTACAACGGATCATAATATGGTACATGTTATAAATATTCCCCATGGAACGGAGATGGTGCACATTGTGCGTGAATGAATCATATGACCGGGGTAATATCTGAAAATCGCTTAGAGACGGTATTTCGTATTAACCGCTCTATAGATCCAGCTTATTATTATCACTACTAATGTTCTGATCAAACGAATTGAGATCCCATTACCATTTTCATTTTCATCAGGAAGCGGTGGGCATATTATACTGTTATAAATTCATTAACTTGATTTGCTAATCATCTTCATCTCCTCAAAAGGCGCTGTCAAGCTGAACAAGGACAGTATATAGTAGAAAGGATGATAATATCATGATGATTTGTAATCATTATATCAATATGAAACGTAATTCCCTAGGTTATCATCATTTTCCAATCGAACTCAAAGGACACTAGTAAGTATCCTGTTCGCACGTTTCAACTGTGAAACCAAACATAAAAGATATGCAGTCATGCAATGTAAGATCAAGAGTGCCTGTCACAAGTCATTTATTATTATTATTATCATTTGAAGAGTCTCCAACGTATCATTGTCGTGATAACAAACGTCAAACAGAAACCGAAATTTAACAAGTCACTGCTTTTGAGCTGTTTGTTTATAATGGTCCGACTAGACATGGGTTTTAAGTAGCAATAACTAGTTGACAATTTGTATGATCGAAAGGTCAGGTGAATAATTTCATTGTAACTGCGGATGAAATATCAAGGTACGTGGTTTGCTTCCTTCATGACCAAAAGGCATTTACATTTATATAGAATAATCAAACGAACTAGCCAGTAGCCAGTTGCGCATGCGTCCTGTTAACTCTAAATACGAGAACTTCAAATGAATCTAACACAAGTTTATTGTGTTTTATACAGGAGACTGCGCTGAGAATCTTATTTGAATCAAGTTGTTTCTTCTTTCTGAACAAGATGAGGATGGTTACTATAAAGTGTGTGCACCTATTATTTGTACTTATATCACTCTTGAGCGTATGCACGGTGGTTGCATCGCTAATAACGGGTAAGTTCCGTTTAAATATGAATTTTAAAACCCCCAGAGCTACCATCAAAAAAATGTGCAAATTCTACGGAAAAGTACTATTCACCGAATATTATTATGATGGGATAAATAAAGATTATAATGAAATTATGTTGTGCTCAAACTTATTAATATCCTTGCAATTTTTTGTGAATTTCTATTTGTTAGACTATAAGATAAAAACAGGCAAAAGATGGCAGCCAAATCTGGTATCAATTACTAAAAGCTTAGACATCAGAACAAATGGTGGTAATAAAGTCAAAATCCCTTGAAATCTAAACATTTCCTCTGGATTTATTTAAAAACATGAATAATTAGTCAATTTTTCAGTGAATTACCCTATAATATATTATGAAAATTGTGTTTCTATCCATTCTTAACCCATTCATGCAGCGAAATGAACTATCAGGAAAATGTGAGAGCAATTTCATGAATTGAAAGATTGATAAAATAAGTCACTTTTGTACTAAAACTGTAAATATGTTAGATTTTGCTGGTTGAAGGAGTAAATTTATATCCCTGTTGTGCATACCAGAATTTAATATTTTACCGAGGTATTCTTCAATGAATTATCTTTAAACTGGACAAGAAGAAAACAAACATCACAAAAAAAATGACTTTTGGTGCACTTTGGTTCCTCCCTGGCCCGCTATGCGGCGCTTGCTGGCCGCGCTAGTACTGATCAGTAGATGAATAATTAGTCAATTTTTCAGTGAATTACCCTATAATATATTATGAACATTGTGTTTCTATCCATTCTTAACCCATTCATGCAGCGAAATGAACTATCAGGAAAATGTGAGAGCAATTTCATGAATTGAAAGATTGATAAAATAAGTCACTTTTGTACTAAAACTGTAAATATGTTAGATTTTGCTGGTTGAAGGAGTAAATTTATATCCCTGTTGAGCATACCAGAATTTAATATTTTACCGAGGTATTCTTCAATGAATTATCTTTAAACTGGACAAGAAGAAAACGAACATCACAAAAAAAATGACTTTTGGCGCACTTTGGTTCCTCCCTGGCCCGCTATGCGGCGCTTGCTGGCCGCGCTAGTACTGATCAGTAGATGAATAATTAGTCAATTTTTCAGTGAATTACCCTATAATATATTATGAACATTGTGTTTCTATCCATTCTTAACCCATTCATGCAGCGAAATGAACTAGTTATCAGGAAAATGTGAGAGCAATTTCGTGAATTGAAAGATTGATAAAATAAGTCTTTTTTTTACTAAAACTGTGAATATGTAAGATTTTGCTGGTTGAAGGAGTAAATTTATATCCCTGTTGTGCATACCAGAATTTAATATTTTACTGAGGTATTCTTCAATGAATTATCTTTCAACTTGGCAAGAAGAAAACAAACATCACAAAAAAATGACTTTTGGCGCACTTTGGTTCCTCCCTGGCCCGCTATGCAGCGCTTGCTGGCCGCGCTAGTACTGATCAGTACCCTGGTGCCACTTTTTGTGCGTCCCGACAGGTTGTGTAACCGGACAAAACGGCAATTTAATTTTGAAGAAGTTTACAAGTTACATTTCGCAAATCGTTTGAGAATTATTTTTGACAATATTATAAAAAGAAGAAAAAATGTTTATGATGGTCGGTGCCATTTAAAGACCTTGACCGGAGCAGAGCATTATATAGACAAATTATATACCTACGGACTCGTGAATATTTACTGAATATGAAAATGCAAACTTCTCGAGATTCCACGGCCTCTGAAAGAAGTATTTAGCATCCGAACCCCAGGATTCACGGATTTGAGAGGGGCACCCCGGAGATTTAGTTTCGGCTGCGCTAGCCGGTGGCCGTTTCTACCCGTTTCTGATGACGTCATAACGTGTAGGTTATTTGGCCACTCGGTATTGCAGCTGGTTCTTCGCATGGTGGTCGGTATGTGAAGTTTTCTTCTCTCTTTTTTTGTTGTTGTAAATATCAATGTCAAAGCTGTATTTGGACATTTTACGATTAGAATGTTGACATTTTATATCTGTATTAATTTCACGCTACGTAATATGGAATATCAACCCCAAATTTCCACTAAATTAGATTGAAACGAATCATTTGCCCGCGCTGCTGGCTGCCTGCCTCGGTCTGCGATTGCACAACTTTCAGCAATCTATCGCTGAGCCTCGCGAGAGCACTCGGGCCGCGGCCGGCCCGGCCTGACTTGCCGCGCCGTGTCATGCTGGTGGTCGTGGAATATTTCTCGAACAAAACTAAGTTTCGCTCGCTTTTATCGCACAGATAGCCTTTCCTTTTGCATGGTTTACCAGCATTAAATCAAAGAATTATTTAGATCTACATTGTTTTATTGTCTAGAATATAGTCTGTAAACAATGAAAAATAAGAAGAAGATGAAATGGAGATTTTGAAGAAGAATTGGGCCTAAAAAAGAAGAAAAAGAAAACTAGGTAGTTGGTAGAATCTAGGCCTTGGACTCGTGCCGCCCAGTGGCAGTGCACTGCAGTACAGTGAAGCCAGGAACTAAATTATTTTGAATTGATGTCAGAAATCACATGGGTGCCTCTTCTTGATACTTTCTCGTGATGAAAACACTGTTTTTATTCAAATCAAAATGGTCTAGAGTCTAGATCTAGTGTTGTTGCCAGGGATGATTATTAAAACAAAATCATCGGTCATTTGTTGTTGACTTTGCTTTTTTTTTTTATCCGACTACAGATTAACTTTGCTTTTTTTTTTCTATGAAACTAGCCTCAAGTTGTTCTTTTTGTTTGGATGTGGGTAAAATCCTTATTTATATGCATACGGTGTAATAATACTTTGAAGATGTTTGTCAAAATGCGAGCAAAATATTTACATTTATTTTAATAATGTACATTCAAGTTTAATTTAGTTCAATTTTGATCATGACATTCATATTTTTTTTTTTGCAATTTTCTAAATGATTAATATTCATTGTGGAATGAAAAAATAGTTTTGGCGAAGGGATGAGATGCTTGGAAATGCCGAGATCATGATTGCTAACTATTTAAATGAACTCTCCTTCACCTTTACCGCATATATTATATTCCCAATCTTATTACAGGTACAAAGGTGTACGACAAGCTTCGAGAGGAATGGCTGAGGACCAGACTGATGAACGACATTGGGATGATGTCCCCACATGCCCAAACCAGCAAGGTTGAATCATTCCACAACATCCTCCTTCACTTTTGCCCCAAGTTGCTTGTATACTCATATCAAGGGATGAAGTGCAGGTAAATTAGGCAATTAATTCATCAACATTATGCTCCCCTAATATAAATTTAACAAGAACGTCACAGAGGGCAGTGTTGTTTCTTCTTCTTCTTCTTTTGAATTTGATTTTATTGGTTTTATGTTTTAAAGTTATTATTTTCTTTTTGTTATAGCCAGGTTCTTTCTATTTCATATTTTGTTGGTTTTTTTTATTTTTTTTTATTTATTATTTGTAACACATGCTTTTTACACTAACTCTTGCCTTCACTTATTGGAGAGTAGGTAACGAGTTTATGATGATAGACATTACATTACCAAAAAGATAAAATCAACTGTCACAAGTATGTTATTCATGTGACCTTTATTTTTAACTTCACTCTTTTCAGATTATATTTGGCTGTCCTACATTGGAACGAAAATTGTGATAGAGCCCAGGCTGTTGATGCCGAAGGGAACCCAGTGTACAGGTTGAAGTATCCACGCTCGAAGGAAGGAGGCCACACAGTGGAGAGAGTGCTGACAGCTGGCACATGTGGTAAGTAGCCACATGTCTAGTGAATGATATCAATATTCAACAAAAGAGCTCAATTATATATAGAAATCTTTTATTACTTCATGATCAATAGAATTCAAATTAGTAGATTCTTGTGGCCTATATGCCCTTAATTTAATCTGTTGATTAAATTGATAATTATAAACATGTATTGGGTTACTTTCTGCAAATGTGTAATATTGAATAGCAAGCAGAAACAGGCATATATGTCAGTCCCCAAGTCAGTGAACTACCTATTCAGCAAAGAACATGTGCATGCCATTGGTATTTGATTGGTCATCCACCTACAAATAGTGTGTAAAATTAGGTAATTCAATATTTGTGAGAAAAAGAGTTTTCTCTTCTTATGTTCTTATTTTTCTCTTTTCCTTTTTTCCTCTTATCAAAATGTATTTTTTTAACACCGTATAGATGAATTTTCAAGGTATAGTTTTGGATTTTATCTTGTAGGTTATGTGAAAGCCCTGATGAGAGTTGTCGTAGAACTGGTGGAAAACAGGGAGCAGCTCAGAGACAACATGGAGGAGCTACAGCCTCAACCAGCACGGAGTGCCTCTCATCATCACCCCGACAATGGAGAAGCCGTGCAAGCTTTTGAACAACATCATCGCTTTGGCGATAGAAACTAGTTCTTTTGGTGATAGAAACTATGATGAATGTGTCAGCTACCTGAACATTAACCACTGATTGTTTTATTTCAGTACAAGACATGTTTTTCATAGACCCTAAATTATGTTTATGCCAGTATAATTATGGAGAGTAACATGGAAGTACTCTATGCAAGTGAGTAGTGGATTCCGATTCTATGTGAGTGTAAAGCACTAGAAACTTGTCTGTAAGCTTGTACATACTTACACAAGCCAAAGTCCATGGTACACATCAATAGTCATTGGTTTTAATAGGTAAAATACTTATTAAATTTGTAAAACTTACATTTTTAGTTCAATTAAAAACAATTTCTGAAGCATATGCACTAGATTTTCATAAACACTAAGTAAATCACTGTTGATCATGAATTTGGCACCAAATATAATCTGATTTTTCTCACAGTCCTTCATCTTGGCCAATGCTTTTTGCTTCTTATTTGCAAAAAATAAAAAATAAAAAAATGCATTTTTTTTTCTCATCTAAACTGTTCTTATTCAAGAACCATTTGATGTATTGCACCAGATATGACTTTATTTTTTGTTTTTGATTTTTTCCCTTTTCTGCCGAGGTGAATTGTGTTATTCATTTTCAAAGTTAGTAGTTTTAAAGATCATGCCATATTATCACAGAAGAGGAAACATTGTGATGATACTTCATCGCATCCATACTTTTTTTCCTAACAGCGGTTTCCTGTTTGTCCTAAAACCTGGTTATAAAAGATTGAAAAATAATCATCCTTGCAGATATAATAAAAATAGTCATCTAATCCTGTAAACTTTACATAAAATAAGGATGAATGTAATGTACATGTTGCATCAAAGTTTTTGTTCCAATGGTGCATCATTTTGAAATATATTGCACAAACAGAGAAGAAAATGATTGGAGGGAAAAACCGTCAATGGGATGTTCTGAGAATATTTTGAGCAAAGGTAAACAAAAATTCATCTAAAGGAACACAAATCTTGTTTGTTTATTTCTATTATAGGTGTCTTGTAGGAAGCTTCATAATTTAAAGATGGAAATTGCTGTGAAAATGAGAGTGAGATAGAGAATGTGAAGGAAGAAGAGGGATAAAGGTAGATACCAATAGGGATAGAGTGAGAGATGTGAATGTGATGGATGGAAGAGGAGAAAGAGAGATTGTGAAAGAGTGAGAGATGGGAATGTGATGGATGGAAGAGGAGAAAGAGAGATTGTGAAAGAGTGAGAGATGGGAATGTGGAGGGTGGAGGAGGAAAAGAGAGGCAGAGGGAGAGAGTGAGAGATGGGAATGTGGAGGAAGAGGAGAAGGAGGGACAGAGTGAGAGATGGGAATGTGGAGGGTGGAAGAGGAGAAGGAGGGACAGAGTGAGAGATGGGAATGTGGAGGAGGAGAAAGAGAGGAGGGACAGAGTGAGAGATGGAAATATGGAAGAGGAAACAGAGAGAGGAAGTGGGATAGAGAGATGGGAATGTGGAGGGTGGAAGAGGAGAAAGAGAGAGGAAGAGGGACAGAGTGGGAGATAGGGTTAAGGTTTATCCTTTTTGGGAGGATAGATTTGATGCAAAATAAAGGATTTCCTGGATTTATTACGATGCTTACCATTTATCACACATTTGAAATTTCGTCAACCGCAATTCCCTTCTCTTACTCTCATTATTCCTCTGTCTATCTTTGTTGTGTCCATGCTGTTATTTCTCTTTCTCTCAATTTCGTTTTCTCTTTCAATTTCATTTTCTCTTTCTCTCCCCTTTTCTGACTCGGCAGGTTGACTGTATATGAAATTCTCAAATTATTAAAACAAATTACATTGCAGGGTGTATAACAAAAGAGAAGGAACAAGGCATGTTGTGTTTTTTTTGTTTTTTTTGTTGTTGCTTGTTTATATAGATTTCAACATTCTTCCTCATAAGAAATCGTTGCTTGATCACAGTTTTGCAAAAGTTCGAATATCAGCTCTTGGAAATTAGAATCAAATGTCGAGATCAAAGTTCATAGCAACCATACCATCATGAGAAGTTCAAACAATAGTATTTGTGATGAATATGAAGATGAAAGCCGATGATCACAAATAACGTACAGAAGATGGCTGACAATCACATAGAAGATGACAGTCATTCAAAGTTCGCAAGACAATAGTTGATGTTACATCCTCATCTCAACCGACGCAGGATGGTCCCTTTGTACTGACCACGTCCATCAGGATACGCTTCCATTATTGAGGCATGGACACATGCTGGCAGTTGCACCCTGATGTCCTTCCCGAGCCAGCCCCAACACCATCTCACGACTTTCCTGTAGGCCACATACCTGTATTTTCTGTAAAATAAAAAGCAATAAAAAAAATTCATTATTTTTCTTAGGATAGATGATTTGATGTCAAAATATTAATTCTTTATTAATTAATTCAGGAAAATAAAAATGATTAAAAAAAACTAAAATGACCAAGGGTTAGTCATTGTTTGTCGGGCGGTGGGGGGCAACATTCAAAATCGCATATAAAGTTTGTGTTTCATAACTACAGATTATTGGGGGGGGGGGGTAACATGCTAAAACTCACAAACCGGTGGTCATTCTTGCCTATTTGTATACATTTCCTGAAAAAGTGCCCCGAAGCACCTGCAGATAAGGCAGCTAGTACACCAGTGGTCACCAGGCAAGAATTTTGGTCAAAACTAGTAATTCATCTTGCGGTGACTCAATTCGTTTTGAAAAGTTTCACCCAATAAACTTTCAAAATCAATCCATTTATTTTTTTGCCCTTGCCAAAATGATGAAAAGGAGAAACATAACTTACTCATTGTTCCTGTCCCCAAATGCTTTGGCTGCTCGGCGCCACCTATCTGTGTACTCCATCCATCCGATGTACAATGTTGTCGCATTTAGGATGGCCGGCTCAAACTCCTCAGAATCCACCAGACAACTTGAACCCTGTCGATCAGCCTCTGCCTTGACCTCTGCAATTTCCTGACAACAGACACAATCACCTTCATTGAAAGATGGAGGCACACGACATCTTCCACATGTACACCTTGAAATACAGAAAGATTCAAACAAAAATCAATACACCTACTATAATTTTATAAATATTTTATTACAGCTTCCTGATAAATATAAAAATGACATCGTTCTCGTAGTCGTAGTATGGTAAGAGTGCCCAAGGCAGTGCCTATGTCTGCGCACCCACGTAAATGCGCGATATTTATAGAACAAAACATCAAACTGACACCAATTTTCAATCTTAACCTCAACAATTCATTCAGATACCAAAATTTGTGAAAATAATTGGGAAGATTAAAAATGAGTTTTAGCAAGTTTCATTTGCCACCCTGAAAATTTCAATCATTGTCAAAAAAGAAAAGTCTGAACAGGGGGTTGTCCCTGGTATGAAACTTCACTGTGCTTGATTGAATTGCGTGCAAAATAGTGAGTGCGCAGACATGGGCACTTTTCAGTTTTGCTACACAAAATGACGAGCCCGTCTGAAATTCGTTAAAAAAAATTGTTCTTGTGAATAATTTGTCGAGTTTTTTTGTTTCAGTAATCATTAGAATATGAAGAACGGAATAACAATGATGATTCTAAAAATAATATCTTACTGTGTAATGAAATCGAGGTCGAATTTTAGGTGCGCAGACATAGATCTAGAGAATCATTTTAACAAGTTAACTTTGGCCATTTATGACCGAGTCTAGAGATCTACGGTATTTGATTTCAATTTTTGGGGGGAATAAATATTTAGAATGCACAACAAATTCAATAAGCTTATAAGTCTTAATTACCAATCCTCGACATTTTCATGAAGCCGATTTGCGTTGTTGGCCCTTCCAGCATCGCCAACATTTTGCCCAGGTTCACCACGAGGTAAAGGCTCATACTCCCACTCGACGATACGCCCGTGTTCTCCGGCGTCTGCATCACTTGCATCGCTGTCGGTATCACTGCTGCTGCCAGTACTGTCCGGACTGTCACTACTACCACTGACACTGTCATTTTCACCGCTTTCCCCGCAACTGCCATCCTCCTCACACTCAAATTCCATAACTAAATCATCTTGTGCATCTGCCCTGACGACTGGGGTAGCCATTCTCTTTAGAAAGACTTCTCAAAACTTCTCAAACTTCAATCGATAAAAAGCAGAAAGGATTCACGGTACGCAAAATCAATGTAGATCTCGAACATCGCGCGGCGAAGAATTATAGCAAACAATTCGAGTCTACACGAAATGACGTCACCCAAGTCCGTGCGGCGCGGGGGCTCTTGACCGAGGCGAATTTGGGAGGGGGCGGCAGTTGTACTGTAATTTTCATTTTTCTCAGTAATGAAAGGGTATTTAATTTTTTCTTTCTTGTATTTGTATTTTGTGTTTCATTAGCCGTCTGTGGATGTATGGTTGTTTACGCTCCGGTCAAGGTCTTTAAAGATAATACAAAGTTTTGGGAATTTTGAAAATTGGGTGGATATTGATTCTTTGCCATTTTGATATATTTGGATGTCCTTGTGGATGTGTTATAGGCACTAGAAAATTAAGCCCCTAAAACACTTCTGCTTTCGAGAAAGATTGAACATAAAATTTGATAATTTTTAAATAGCACCTACGGCCGTACAATTGTAGCTGCGACCATGAAAATATCAGAATGTGTAGTTGTGATATTTAATTTATAAACGGGAATAGCTAATCGGTTGATTTTAGTCAAGAAACTTTGTTTCCTAGCTTAATTAATATATTGACCTTGAGAGGGAGCATTACAACATAAAGAGTTCATTATTTACAAATGTATAACCTTTTGACTTGTTTCAACCGCGACAACGATCACTGAATATTGTAGGATCGCATATGCTTCCAATATGTTTAATTGAACCAAATTCATGACCCCATACCAAAACTGTGTACATGTATTACCTTTAATAAATATCTTTTGTTAAATTCAAAGGCAAAAGAGTGTCCAGACACACGACCCCAATCCTACAGCAATTGCAGTATATTTACCGTAGATCGACTCATGATATCCTGTGACTCGGATAAACTTCTCGAAGAATCTGATGTTTATTTCACATTGTTTTACCTAATTTATTAAATAATAAGGATTCAATGAAACAATAGAGCTGTTCCCTAATTATTTGTAATTCGTTGAAATATTCGAATGTAATTAAGAATCTATAAAAAAAAAAAAACAGAATGATATACATACTATGTTGACAGCACGTAAACACAGCGAAGAAGAGACAGGTGGCTATAGCCTCTACACACGATGACGTCATCAAGTCATTTTCTGTTTTTCGTGAGACTATTTCCGGGTTTTGATGCTCATGAATTCAAACTTTCAAACAAGTATTTCTCCTTTGCATGACCCTTTGTGAGCAAATAGTAGCAATTACTGTATTCTATGGCTAATAAACTTCAGTTTGATATTCAATTCAATTTAATTCAATTCTTTTTATTCGTCCAAATTCAGAGGAATACAT